TTGTAATATTTTGCTTTGTCATCCTGTGCTGCCTTTTGAAATCTTCTATTCAACTCTTTAGTATCTTGAATTCTTTCTTGTGCTTTGGCTTCTCTGCGCTTGCATTCATTATTAATTGTATCTCAACATAAAACAAAAATCCCTACAACTCAACCAATAATAAATTGCACCATGGTAAAAGGAGAAAAGATTAAAGCTGTTAATGATTTAATTTCACAAGGATCTACAATCAACACCCATAGAAGGAGCTATCAAGAAATAAAATGAGCTATTGCATCGGCAAAATCTGCTGCAGAGATCTCTCTGAAGTGCAGAATGAGAAGGTCATTTAAAAGACTAAGTTGTAGCTGAACCAAGCCATGGTATTTTCAATGATTTGTGTTCATGTGAAAGATGGATAATGAATTAAGATCAAACAAGAATCCACTCCTTTAAATTGTGGTATTAGTGAAGAATATTGAATATAATAAAAGGATGAGCAAATCTGGCTTGGAAGAAGTCTGAGTGCTCCACAGAAGTAAGGATGTGAGGCTCTGTCTTTCAATCTTTGGGCATGTCAAGGGGCCAGTTCCTGGAGAAAGACATTGAGTTTGGAAAAGTAGAAGGTCAGCGAAAGAGAGGATGATTGCAGCAAGGTGGATTGACTTAGTTCCTGCAACATGGAACCAGGCACAGCAGAGATTGTGAGGATCGCACCAGACGGGACAGGGTTTTGTCCTGTTGTCCACAGTCACTATGAGTGAGAGTCAACTTGATGGCCCCCACCTAACTATAATGACAACATTGTTTGGTAAAAAGACTTCAGGAGTTGCTTTTGGTCTAAAGCTTAAAGATTATTTTAGGGCAATAATTTGGGGGATTCAGTAGTTTCAGTGGTTCCAGAAAGTTTGGATTCCAGGTGAAACTGAAATTCTGTTCTGCATTTTCTCTCTACCTCCTGTCTTGAAGATCTTCACTCCTCTCCAGGACTATCCTCCAGCTAAGAGACCACTTTCTGGACCTAAACTTATATTACCTGTCTCCTAGTTGGCCCATTTCCCTTCTTATTCATCTGCAAGTAATTTTCCATGTAGTATGAATGACTTTTCTATAACATAAATCTGATTATGTCTTCCAACCCTTCTTTCTTTTAATTATTAATTTTAATGAAAGTTTACAGAGCCTTTGGATTTCCATTCATTCACTATTGCACTTTTCTCCCTGCCCAACCTCCTCCCCAGTTCACACTTCTTTTTGAAAAGTAAAAGAAAAACTCTTTCATTGTTATACAATCCCTCCCCCCAAGTCCATTTCACTATGCAGCCTTCGTTCTGGACTCCTGTCATGACAATAATACCTAATCATACATCCTTTTAAACAATTCTCTCTGTCATTTGTTTCAATGCAGTATACATTATTTATCCCATCTTTCTCAGTCTTCCCCCAACCCCAATGTCAGTCCCGTTATACAATAGTGGCACTATGCAGTATTTGTCCTTTTGTGACTGAGATATTTCACTCAGCAAAATGTCCTCCAGGGTCACCCATTTTAAATAATATTTTATTAGTTCCTTATTTTTCAATGCAGCATAGTATTCCATTGTGTGACTATACCAGAGCTTCTCTATCCATTAGTTTGTTGATGGGTTGTTTCCAGCTCTCTGCTATTGCAAACAAAGCTGTGATAAACATGGGTGTACATATATCTGCTTGGGTGGCGTTTATGGTTTCTTCGGGGTATATTCCCAGTAGTGGAATTGCTGGGTCAAATGGTATTTCTATTTGCAACTTTTTGAGAAAGCACTATACTGCCTTCTATAGTGGTTGCCAACCCCTTTCCTCTGCTTTAGGATAAGCTCTGATATATTTCATGTAGCCTCTCACAACCTGGGCCTTGAGCACTTCATTTGCTTCAGCCACAGCAAAATTCTATTTTCTTTATGATATTACGATCTCCTCAACTCCGGGTCTTTGTAATGCTATTTACTCTCCTGAAACAATCTTTCATCTTTTCATTCTCTCTCTCATACTTGCCTGAGAAACTCTTCTATTTTAGTTTCACTTTAAATGTCATATCATGTCATGTCTCAATAAATACCAGTTTTGAGCACCCTCCACAGAGATCCCTGTGGCAGCTTCTCTTATCTAGCTGCACACTCTACGCAGAAGGTTAACCCTGACCTTACTGATATCTAGGATCTTCTCCAAGGAGATCAGCTGGGGCAATGATAATACATTTGTTTGCTGAGAATCTGGTAGTTTGAACGCACCCAGCCACTCTGTAGGAAAAAAGACCTGAAAACTGTTGCCATAAACTCATAACTAGGAAACCCTATCGGGCAGTTTTACCCTGGTATATAGTCAATCAATGATTACTGTGAGTTGGAACAGGATTAATAGCTAAACTTCCAGTGGATTTTCAGAGACTGTAAATCGCACAGGAGGAGATTGCCTATCTTTATTTCTTTACCTTACTGAACACAGTGTCCCTGAGGTATTCCAAGTATCTGATAAAGGGTGATTGCTAGCTAACAGGTTCTTGTTGTAGGATGAACATGTAACAGAAATTGTGGGTATGAGACAGCATAGGGCGATATCGAGGGACTTTAACCTATGTATGAACTTGTGTGGTGGCACCACCGAGAAGCTGAAGCCTGTGCACGTGACAGAGTGAGGTGTCATAGCCTGAATGGTTGTGTGTGGTGGGTGAGGATCACTGTGTGTGGCTGCACACGGCGACAACAGGGTGTCACCATGACAGTGGCTGTGTCCTGTGTGTGACTGACTGTGAGTGGCTGGGGCCACTAGGACCAGGCTGTGTGACTCCCGCAGTCGCCAAGGAAGTTAGAGGAAGAAGAAACCCTAGCGGCCCCTCACTAAGATGGCGGCTGCGGGGGTGGCGGCGTGTCCTTGGAAGGAGCTGCGCTGCTTGTGACCGGGAAGAGAAAGCAGGGAAGTGGGAATGCGCGGCCCGAGGCCACCCTTTGGAGGACAGTGGTGTTAGTTCTGAGCAGAGCCGGGAGCCCGCTCGCCGGACCCTAGCCCCACCTCCTCGCCGCCCGGACACCGGCGGGGGCGTGGCGTGGTTCCGAACCGTGGGGCCGCGGAGGCGGGATGTGCACTGACCGCCCAATGGCGTGCGAGGGGCCGGGCCCGGCGTGTACCTGCCGGGCGATTAGGGAAGTCTGGTAGCTTGAGCAAAGCAAGAGCCCGGGAGTCGGCACCCAGCGGTAGAAGATGCTGAGCATAGCCCTGAGCCTTCAGAGTGGCACTTGGACTGAGTCTCTGTCTCTGCTCTTGGGGCTTGCCGCGGCCCTCTACGTGGGCTACTACTGGACATGTGTGCCCCAGGTGCGTGCGGGTCCAGTGCTCTTGTCGTGGCGTTGGGACACTCGGGTTCAAGGAGCAGCGTCTAGACCAGGGTTCAAACCCTGTACAGGAGTTGGGAGGGTTGCCCTCCTCCTGCCCTGCTCTTGGGCCAGGTTCCACTTTGCTGTTATCACATATTGTAGAATTCGATTTCTTCCTAAATGTTCCTGTATTTTCGTGCTCTCCATGGCAAGCGGGGTCTTTCAGGCATCAGTGGGAAGCTGCTCTCTTTTTGATGTGACAACCATGTAGGGTGGGTGGAAGCCATCCTGAGTTTTCGGGGAGATGTGCACACTTTCGGCGAGATGTGCTTTCCTCTTTTTTTAGGAAGCCTTTTAGGAGTTTGTCATTAGCGGCATTGAGTGAAGGAGACCGCAGGCTTATGGAGTTGTGGCTAACCATCAAAACTAGTAGGACCACCATAGCCTAGTAGGGCCTCCCTACTGTCTCATAAATTGGCTGCGGTTCCTCTTCCCGCTCTGGCCTGGTGGATAATCTTAACAGTTCTTGTCCATTTAACGCTTTTTAAATTCAAAATTTTCCATGAAAGCGATATTTGAATTTTTATGAACTTGGAAATTTATTCTTACTGAAAATAAATACAAAATTTATATATCCACGGGGAAAATGAAACCGTTTACTCATCATTGAACTCCATCCTAGGTAGATTAGTCTAACAGGAAACCTATTGAACTATAGTCTTCCTTTAAACTAAAAACCACAAACCAATTACTGTGGAGTTGATTCCAGCTCGTGGTGATTCCCTATGTGCCAGAGGAGAACAGTGCTCCGTGGGATTTTTAGTGACCACGGGGCTTTATGTTTGTTTTATTTTGGGGGTAGGGTGGAGGGAAAGAAGGCGTTTGCCAGGATTTTCTTCTGCAGTACCTTTGGGTGTGTTCAAACGTCATTCAACCTTTTGGTTAGTGATGAATGTTAACTGTCTGACTATGAGACTCCAGAAGACTTATATTGTTGTTGTTGTGTACCAATTTAGAACCTGACCTCAAGTTGACCCTTCAGCAGGTTTGCTCACCCTTGTCCTGCAGAGAAGCTAGTGCATTCAAACCACCTGCCTTTGGGTTGGCAGCACAACAGATCATTGTGTTATTGCTTACCATTGAGTCAGAACCAACTCATAGTTGACTCTCCAGTGGATTTTCAAAGGCAGTTAAACATGAGAAGACCGCCATCTTTCTCCTGCAGAATAACTGGTAGATTCAAACCATGTGCCCTTTGGATTTGCAACACAACTTCTTACTGCTAGGCCTCTAGAGCTCCCTAAGCCATCAGATAGGGTATTTAATGTCTTTTTTTAAAAAAAAAGTTTTATTGTTATTTTGGTGAATGTTTATAGAGCAAACTGCTTTTCCATTTAACCATTCATACTTTTTGTTTTACAACTTTAATTACAACATCCTCAACATTAATTACAATATCCTAAGGGACTCTGGTATCATAGTACATAATGTGCCCAAAGATTGGCATCTGAAATCACTAGCAGCTCTTTGGGGGAAAGATGAGCAATCTCTGACCATATTTTTTTTTTAATTGTAATTTGAGTGAACAGTTACAGAGCTTATTGCTTAGTCAATCATTCATGTCATTTTGTTTGTAACAGTAATTATGATGCCCACAATGTCTTGATCATTCATTCCATATTGTCTCTCTCTTCAGTCATAGTAGTATGTATCGCCCATAAAGATTTAAGCCTGGGAAACTCAATGCGTTGCTAAGAGTTGAAACAGGAACCACCTTGATGCCAAGTGGGTAATTAACAATATAACCCTTCCTGCTTCCCCTGATTCCAGTGTGCACTAATCCTTCTATCCTACTTCTCCTGTGTTTGGAACTATGTCCTGGGGGTTAATGGTGCCCTTTTGATCTTGTATGCTTGGATTTTTTAAGGAGTGAATGTTATTGTTTACCTTACAGGCCTGCCTACTGCTTGTCTGAAAGTTGAACCAGAGGCCTGGGTTTTATTCCTTGTTTGAAAGGAGATTAAGGGCCATAGCCTCAAGGGTTCCACCAGTCCATGAGACCAATAAATGTGGCCATTTTTTTTGTTGTTTCATGAATTTTTCCCAGCTATGTCCTGGAGCTTTGAGCTTGATCTCTTGTAGAACAGTCCTGTGGGGCATTTTAGTTTTACCCAGATGTCTTTGTATTTTCAAAACTTTCCACATTGCCATGCATGTATTGTTTTTAAATTGTTCTTGTATACCATTGAGTCAGAACCGACCCATAGCTGACCCTCGAGAGGGTTTTCAGGGATTGCAGTGCAGCTTCTCATCAAAATTAAAAGAGCTTTTTTTCGTTATTGTGTACCATTGAATTGCATCTGACTGTGACAGGAGGAGATTTGCCCCTCCTTCTCCAGTGGAGAAGCATCGGGTGGATTCAAACCGCACACCTTCGGTATTGCAGCCTGCCTGCCACTAGAGCTCCCTTCCAGCGGGTTTTCAGAGGCATTTAATCACATGGTAGAAGACTGCCCATCCTTCTCCTGCAGAGCTGCTGGTGGCCTTGAACCTCATGCCTTAGAAATTGCAGTGCAGTTTCTTGCCACTAGGCCATTAGAGGTCCCTGTTTTTAAATGTGTCATTGTTGTTATGTACCGTTGAGTCGCCTGCCTGAAACCCTGCTCTGTCCTGTGCCAATATTACTGTCTCTGACACACCTACCCCCATTACCCCAGTCACTGAATCAATTCACCTCATAGAGGATCTTCCTCTCCTGTGCTGTCCCTCCACCCTCCCTAGCATGACGTCCTTCTCCAAGGATTGGTCTCTCCTTACAACATGTCCAAAGTATGTCAGATGGAGCTTCAGAATCCTTGCCTCCAAAGAGCAGCCTGGCTTAATCCTCTCTTGGAAGAACCTGTTCATTTTCTTAGCAGTTTCTTAGTATATTCAATACTCTTCTCCAACACAGCTCAAAGGCATCAATTCTGCTTCTATCATTCCTAGTCATTGTCCACCTCTCTGATGCATAGCAAGTGATTGCAAAGACCATGGCTTGTATCAGGCACACCTTAGTCTCCAGAGTGACACCATTGCTCTTCAGTACTCTGGAGAGGTCCCTAACAGCAGACTTTCCCATCACAATATGCTTTTTAATTTCCTGACTGCTGGTGCCAAGAGTGTTGACTGTGGAGCCAAGCAAACTAAAGCTGTTAAAAATCTCAATCTCTTCACCATCCATCCTGAGGTTGCCAGTTGGCTTAGTGTTATCTTTGTTTGAAAGCTGCAGTTCTTGACCTTCTGCAGCAAGAGCTTCAGGTCCTCTTCAGTTTCAGCAAGTAGGGTTGTGTTATCTGCATAATGCAGATTGTTGATGAATCTTCCTCCAATCCTGATGCTCTACTTCTCATACAGCCCAGCCTCCTGGATAATCTGTTCTGCATATAGATTGAAAAGGTATGGAAGGGAGCTCTGGTGGCCTAGTGGCAAGAAGCTGCACTGCACTCCCAGAGGAACACGGTTCGAATCCACCAGATGCTCT